CAAAAATGTAGCGATAGCGCCGTCGAAGCGCGCGGCTTTGATCCGCTGGCAGCGAAAAATTCTACTGTGATGGTATTTGAATGTTTGGCGCATAAAATTTTGTCAGCTGGTTTGTTGGAAAGTGATGTGGATGCCATTGAACTTAAGGTGGCATCGATTGTTTATGAGGAAATCGCAAATCGCCGCCAAAAGAGGCAAAGTAAAACCAAATAATGACAACAACAACAATAGTGATAATAAGTTAAATACATATGTACATACATTTGTATATTTCTATGTATAATTTATGTATATAAGTAATTTTAAATAAAAAATTAATTTAATGTTACACATAATTTTTTTAGGACATTTTTATTTGCTGGATTCATACATGGGGCGTTTATTTTGAAACAGGCATAAGTCACTTCGTGCCTTCTGTGCTTAAGTATGTATGCATGTAAAGACCGCAACATTGTGTAAGAGCATCTTAGGATTCTTGGCCCTCCTATAACTGAAAACGGTAATCTGTGCTCTTTAGTTTCCTTATAAGGACTTTTAATGGCTTACATGGAACATCGGACCAATGTTGCAGTTGCAAGATCGTGGAAGAATATTACGCACGCTTGGCAGAGATCTTACAGGTGGAAATAAGATCATCGCCAAAAATTTATAATATTGAAAGGGATTAGCACTCGATATTGTATCACAGCGCCACTATTCTTGGGCTATGTATCACGAGGATTCTGCTCTTTATTGGTTGCAATTTAAACTAAAAAAGTGTTTATCTTAGGTCGATCTTATTAGGTGCCGCGAAGCAAGCGGGCATTGGCTAGTTTTATATAAAAAGAATAAATTGTATTCGGTGCATTTCATGCCTGGACTTCCTCTTTGAGAACCTCGCGCAATATCCCGTTTGGTTGCCATTATTTGAGCCAATTTTTCGTATTGCGCGAAAACAATCACTGTTACAATCATGCACAGTATATTTTACTTAATTTTTTTTTATAAAATTTTATTATTTAAA